CGGCGGGGACCGCCTCGAAACTCTGTCCGCGGCGCACACCAGGACAGGTCCAGGGGGCGGCTTTTGACCCCTGGGCCGTCAGATCAAGCGAACGTTTTCTGATCAGGCGCTTCGATGCTGGGCAGAAGAAGGGGGGAGAGGGGGAGGTCTGGCTCCGGACCTCTGCTAGATGCGGTCGTTTGCAAGCGTGCATCTCATGGGGGGGGGACACCTCCTGCTTGAAAGAGGCTCCAAAAACAGCCAAGATCTACTGCACGGGGGGGAGGGACGGGGGGGGGTGCGAGGGCCCGCGCCGATCAGCCAAGCAAAACTTAAGAGAACGATCACCAAGGCGTCGCGGACGTTCCGGTCTCGGCCTCTGGAGGCCGGCTCCAAGCCCTGGAGACGTGAGGACACAGGAAAAAAAAACTCAGGAGGAAAGGTCGACATCCCCCGCGGCCCGCGGCACAAGACGACTGCAACGTCGGAGAAGAGGGCAACGCAACGAGGGGCGAAGGCGGGGAGGGGGGGGGAGAAAGCAAATCCAAGCGCGCAGCCCCGACGAGGCGCGCAACTGAAACATCCAACGATGTGACTTGCTCCATGCGCGGCCCCAGAGGCTCCGACCCCATCACCTGGGGTAATTTATCGTCCCGAGACGACGGTTGATGATCCCGTGGCCCGATAACAGAAACCAGATGCCGACATCGAGGCAAAACGATGGGACTGAAAATCACAAGTGGAACTCGCACTAGTTTGCTCGCGCAGTCATTCCACCCACCCACCCGCAACTTGTTTGCGAAACACGTGCGGCGGCGATTACGATGAGTGATTGGTGTTGGCTGGTGAATCTCTGCGGCCGCGCTAGCCACCGCATGCTCATGCGCGCAGCGGCCAGCTAGTTTGGCGCGACCAACGCGGCCGTAGTGGCGCTGACCTCTAGGCACATCCCAGCGGACTCTTCAGTGCGAGTCGGCCCTTTGGGCGGGCGCGGTATCATGTCAACGTCGACAACAGTAGACACGATGATCATACTAGCGACGCTGGCGACGATGAGAGCAACGGCGACGGCACGGACACTGACGGCGCCGATGCTGATCACGCCGACGACGATGACGGCGTCCTCGCGTCGGCAATGAAGATGTTGCAAGGAGTCCGACCTGCGCGCGGCCAACGCGCAAAAGTGGTCCGCATGGTATTATTTGACACGGATCGTGCCCCCCCGGCACGCGCGTAAAGGCGTTCGAATGATGTCGACATGCGGCGCGAAAGGCCCGCCTGGCCAAATGCAAAGAAATCTGTAAGAACCAAAACCTAAAGTGTTTTTTCTTTGAATTCGCAAGAGCGTGAACAAAAAAAAGATCTTGCAAAACCATTTGTTTTACATGTGTTCGGGTAACTCGACTTCGAAATCATTACGCAACCCAGTTTTGAGGGAGTTCGGGATGCGCGCGCGCGACGACGCGCGCGCGTGCACTTCGTCCCTTTTTTGCAAAGGGTTATTGCGACATCACGCGCGCAAGGGCGTTCGAACGATTTCGACATGCGCGCAGGAGGTCCGTGTGGTAGCATTATGTGAAAATATTTGAAAACCGATGGCTTACTTAAGAATTCGCAAGAGGGCGAGCGCAAATTGTGTTTGAACTTCTTGCAGCGAAACCCGGTGTTTTTATATGTTCTCGGGACACTTGATTTTGAATTCCTTACGGCACCGAGGGTTGATCAAGGATTTCGGTATGCGCACGACGACGTGCACGTGTGAATTTCGTCTTCTTTTTTGCAAAAGATGTTTGAAAACTTGTGATTGTTGATAAACGAGTGCGCGCGCATAGTATATACCTATTGCAAAAGATGAGGGGAGGAACCGTTACCAGTCTGCTTGGGATCATACGGAGCCCCCTTCAGGATGGACCATGGGGCAGAACCATATGCAAATTGCCAGACGGAAAGGGGGCGGTTAAATCCGAGGGGGGGGAGATCCTGATCCTCTTTCAGACAGGGCCATACAGAAATCGTCGGAGATTTGGGACGGGGGCAACTTCAGTCGCGCAGGTCGGCCTGGGCGGGGGGGCCCTGCGGGTCCACACCAGAGGTCGCTCCAGCGAAGGGCCACTCCTGCGCGCAGCCGAGCATGCGTCGACGCCCGTGCCGGCGTCCAGCGGGGGCGCGGAGGAAGACCCGGACCTCCAGAGGCTCGAAGATAGCGAGGCGCTCGCAGAAAGGTCTGCGTCATCTCTGGGCATCCAAGAGGCTTCTTGTGGCCACGGCTGGATTCCCTCCCATATCTGGCCAGAACGCACCCCAGGACGGGCCCGGGGATCGAGCTTCGAGGGCCACCAGACGTCGGGTGGATGAATTTCTTGACCTGGCTGCATCTAGCAGCAGTTTTCGATGCCCTGGACTGTCAACAACGGATCCGAATGGAAGGCCCGAGGATCGAAGGAAGATATCGCTGGATGTCTCGGCCCGGACCTCACCTCCAGAGACCCGAAAACATCGAGCCTGAGGTTTTTCAACATCTTCTGCCTCTCGAAGCCGCTTTCGGACCCCAGGACCGTCAGATGACTGCTCGGGATGATCAACTTAACCCAGGCCACGACATCCGAAACAAAGCGGAGTCACCGAAGGCTGGAAAGGCCTTTCGGAAGTACGAACGCGAATTGAAACCTCAAACTTCGATCGTTTCCCTCCTCCTGCCTTTTCCTTTCTCGTTCTGTTCTAGTTGGAGGCGGCCTGGTTGACCAGAAAGTCGGTCAGCAGGGGGGGTGAGGCCAAATCAGATCAAAATCACTTCCCAGACCCCCTCCAGGATCCATCTGGTACAATTTGTCACCCCAAATCCCTTTTTGACGGTCCCGGGGCCCGATTACGGCCACGGCGGCCGACTACGGCCACGGCGGCCGGAAAAAAAAAGGAAAAAAAAAAAAAAAAAAAAAAAAAAAAAAAATGTTTGCCCTTATCTGCTCGAGTGTCCAATAACGCGTATTTCCCAAACCCTCGATACCCGCCCTCTTCGTCTTCGATCGAACACATTTGGGGGGGTATACCTTTCTTCCCTGCAGGCCGGGCCCCGGCAAGCGGCGGGGCGGCCGCGAACCGTCGGCCTGGCCAGCGGCAACGCTGATCGGCGGGGCGGCCGCGGACCGTCGACCCGATCCCAAGAGGGACGGACAGGGGACCAACCACGACGACGACGACGACGTCGACGACGACGGCGACGACGACGACGACGGCGACGACGACGACGAGCGAAAGCGAGAGCGAGAGAGAACGACAGCAGGGCCGCAAGGACACGAAGTAGGCCACGAAGGGCGACAGCGGGGACACGAAGGGAATGTGTATGGGGCCACGAAGAGCGCGAACGAGCGGGGGCCACGAAGGGCATAAGTATACTGGGCCGCAGAGGGCAAGGACGGGGCCATTGAGGGCAGCAACGGGGCCACGAAGAGCAGCGAGGGGGCCACGAAGGGCGACAGCGGGGCCACGAAGGGCAGGAAGGGGGTCACGAAGGGCGACATCGGGGCCACGAAGGGCATGCGCACGGGGCCACGACGGGCGCAAACGATCGGGGGCCACGAAGGGCAGATCATGCGGGACCACAGAAGGCAACGACGTGGCCTCTGAAGGTAGCAACTGGGCCACGTAGGACAGTGAGGGGGCCACAAACGGCGACAGCGGGGCCACGAAGGGCACGCACATGGGACCACAACGGGCGCGAAGGAACGGGGGCCACGAAGGGCATACGTATACTGGGCCGCGGAGGGCAAGGACGGGGCCTCGAAGGGCTGCGACGGGGCCACGAAGGGCAGCGAGGGGGCCGCGAAGGGCTGCAACGGGGCCACGAAGGGCTGCGACGGGGCCACGAAGGGCAGCGAGGGGGCCACGAAGGGCCACAACGGGGCCACGAAACAAAGCGAGGGGGCCACGAAGGGCTGCAACGGGGCCACGAAGGGCAGCGAGGAGGCCACGAGGGACTGCAACGGGACCGCGAAGGGCAGCGAGGGGGCCACGAAGGGCTGCAACGGGGCCACGAAACAAAGCGAGGGGGCCACGAAGGGCTGCAACGGGGCCACGAAGGGCAGCGAGATCCCGATTCTTAGGTAATCTATGAGGGAGTCCTAAACGTGAGCGCGACTCCTGGGTGCCTGGGTGTCGGGAGCGCGGCGCTTGAATAACTTGCAAGAGTTTCCAACGCAAGGACGCTATTCTTCAGTAAATTGCAAGCTTGTCTCTAGCGAGAGCGCGACTCCAGAGCGCCGGGAGAGCGATTCCTGAATAAATTGTAAGGAAGTCCCAAGCGAGAGCGCGATTCCTGAATAAAATGGAAGGAATTCTCGGGCGGGAGCGGGGGTCCTGGCTAAATTGTGAGGAAGTCTCAGGCGGGAGCCGTTGTTGTTGTAACCCAGGGGCCAACGACACAGTTTGACCCTCAAGACGTTCCCTGATGAATAAAAGGGTGCGAGCCCCGGGAAGGGCACTTCAATCGAGAAAAAACAATGTGCACCAGACGGGGGGGATCACCAATCATTATTTTTCAGAAATGAGAATTCAACAACAACAACAACAACAACAACAACAACAACAACAACAACAACGACAACCACGACAACCACGACACCGACAACGGACAACGGACAACGGACAACGGACAACGACAACGACAACGACGACGACGACGACGACGACAACAACAACAGTAACAACAACACCAACGACAACAACAACAACAACAACCACAACAACAACTACTACTACTACAACAACAACAACGACAATGACAACGACAACGACAACAGCAACCACAACAACAACACATTTACAACAATAAGCACAACAACAACAAGAACAAGAACAAGAACAACAACAACAACAACAACAACAACAACAACAACAACAACGACAACCACGACAACCACGACACCGACAACAACAACAATAACAACAACAACAACAACAACAACAACAACAACAACAACACACAATACAACAACAACAACAACAACAACAACAACAACAACAACAACAACTGGCGAAAACCCCACAATATGCAGCTGTGCGTAACGCAATTGTAAATATCGTTTTCGGTGGCGCTCCCTCTGCGGACACAACCCCTGTAAGGAGTGTTCCGACATGGGTGCAGCGGACGCATGTGGATGGTGGCATTGGGGCCTTCGGTGGAGCTCCCTATGGGGCCACGAAAAGTGTGAGGGGGGTGCCGAAAAGGGTGTGGGGGACGTCTTCGGTGGAGCTCACTATGGGGCCACGAAACGTGTGACGGGTGTGCCGAAATGGGTGTGGGGGACGCATGTGGACGGTGGCACTGGGGCCTTCGGTGGAGCTCCCCATGGGGCCACGAAACGCTGTGAGGAGTGTGCCGAAATGGGTGCGGCGGACGCATGTGGACGGTGGCACTGGGGCATTCAGTGGAGCGCCCCATGGGGCCACGAAACGTGTGATGGATGTGCCAAAATGGGTTGTTGGGGGCGCATGTGGACGGTGGCTTTCGGGCTTTCGGTGGAGTTCCCTATGGGGCCACGAACCCTGTGAGGGTGTGCCGAAAAGGGTGCGAGGGACGCATGTGGACTGTGGCACTGGTGCCTTCGGTGGAGCTCCCTATGGGGCCACGAAACTTGTGAGGGGTGTGCCAAAATGGGTGCGGGGGACGCATGTGGTGTGGACGGTGGCACTGGGGCCTTCGGTGGAGCTCACTGTGGGGCCACGAAACGTATCAGGGGTGTGCCACAATGCGTGTGGGGGGCGCATGTGGACGGTGGCACTGGGGCCTTCGGTGGAGTTCCCTATGGGGCCACGAAACGTGTGAAGGGTGTGCCGACATGGGCGTGGGGGACGCATGTAAACGGTGGCACTGGGGCCTTCGGTGGAGCTCCCCATGGGGCCACGAAACGTGTGAGGGGGGGGTCGAAATGGGTGTGGGGGACGCAGGTGGACGGTGCCACTGGGGCCTTCGGTGGAGCTCCCTTATGGGGCCACGAAACTTGTGAGGGGTGTGCCAAAATGGGTGCGGGGGACGCATGTGGACGGTGGCACTGGGGCCTTCGGTGGAGCTCCCTACGGGGCCACGTACCCTGTGAGGGGTGTGCCGAAAAGGGCGCGAGGGACGCATGTGGACTGTGGCACTGGGGCCGTCGGTGATGCTCCCTATGGGGCCCCGAACCGTGTGATGGATGTGCCAAAGTGAGGGGGCTGACGGAAGGAGGAGAAGGAGGAGGAGGAGGAAGAGGAGGAGGAAGAGGAGGAGGAGGGAGGAGGGAGGAGGGGGAGGAGGAGAAAAGGAGGGAGACGCGGGGCACTATCTCTTCAAAACGAGGACCCGACAATACAAGATGGTTGGGAAAAAACGGCAAACCAAATAAAGCAATATCAACAACAACAACAACAACAACAACAACAACACCAACAACAACAACAACAACAACAACAACAATAATAACCATGATAACAACAGCAACAACAACAACAACAACAACTACTACAACAACCACAACCACAATAACCACAATAACCACAAACAGTTTAAGACTGTTCGCTCCTATCTGCTCACGAGCTAATCAATACGTATATCCCAAAACCTCGGTGCCCACCCTCGCCATCTTCGATCGTACCCCCTTGGGGGTATGTCTTCCTTACCTGCTACGTGTATTTAGTGCAGCCCCTAAAACAAGGGAAGAAAGGACGGGTGGAAGAGGGAGGGAGAATAATGGAGCACGAGAGAGAAATTAGCAGGAGGGGGGCAAGGAGCAGAAAACAAGTGGTAGAACCAGACGGGCAGATCGGGTGGGCAGACCCATAGCGGGCAGGTCGGGAAGGCGGGCCCAGGCAGCGAGGTCGAGCAGGGGGGTTGCTGACGCGTGGGTCCTGCATGGATCGCGAGGAAGTCTCGAGCGGTGGCGCGATTCCTAAGCAAATCGTGGGAAAAGCCAGCGTGGACCACGCAGGACATAAAATCCGGGGCCACAGAGGGTAGCGACATGGCCTCTGAGGGCAGCACCGGGGCCACGAAGGGCAGCGAGGGGGCCACAAACGGCGACAGCGGGGCCACGAAGGGCACGCATATGGGGCCACAACGGGCGCGAACGAGCGGGGGCCACGAAGGGCATTTGTATACAGGGTCACAAAGGGCGACAGCGGGGCAACTGAGGGCAGCAACTGGGCCACGTAAGACA